CGCTCGAGGAAAGAAAGCTATACTACATTTACATACGTTTTCTTCACTCGGATCGAAATGTAATTTTTAATATTGTAAATTGTTTGTTTTAGCAGAAACGGTAAACTATGAGAGATCGATAACATCGACAGTTAATAGAATTAAGTATTTGAGTCGACGCGACGCGACGTTGCGCCGTCGCGTCTGGAATATAGTAAATAAGTGTTATTGCGCTTTCTTATACAGTAATAGACTTAAGTACAATAAAACTGATTTTGTTATTATTTAGAGGATATTAACTCTCAAAAATTGTATATTTTGTAGTAAATATTGCGGAAATTCTGAGCGTGGAGTTGAAAACGTCATTTGTATAATGTGACATCACGTGGTGATATCTATTAGAGGAATGATCTCTTTCATAACACGTCACACGGCGGTTCTCTTCGCAGATGTCAGCTGGATGTTTATTGGATATTTTTCTCTTTTGTTGAAAATATTACTGAAATTTTATTGGCTAATTTTTCCTCCACAACTTGAATGATGCTCTCTGATTTTAAGGCATTTTCACAAAAAAATTATACGAATATAAAGAAACTTTTTACTGTTTTTAGTTAATTTAATAATATTTTAATATATTTCTGTTATTTAAATACATTTATTGCTTCAAATATTCAAATTATATATATTTTTAAATGTGTTTTCGAGTGTGTGAATTCCTTCGAAGCGAAGCGACGTGTCGCGTCGCCTGCCGACATTATGGATAAATACACTAATATCCACTTTATTTGTTTATAAAATTGTATTTTAACTTATATACGTATATTATATACATATTATATTGTAAATTATTTTTAAAAAATAAGATATTCAAATTGAGAAAAATTAAATTGCTCGCGACGCTTAAAAGAACGACGCGACGTCAGCGCTTTTCCTCATTTCGTCGCGTTGCGCGTAGACTTCACAGATCGTTATATTGTAAAATCACTAATAACCTATTCCACCTTTTGCATAAAATTAACTCGTGATGTCATTCTATAAGTAAAATAAATAGGTAATCAATTTAAAATGCTACGGTAGAAATTAAAACGTTACACAAAGCGAAGCGACGAAGCGCCATCGCTCGCGCCAATTGACAGAGTAGCTATTACGATGTTTGTCCTATTAAATTTAAGTGAGTAAGCCTCGTAACTCTGCATAATTTAATGCATTCACTAGTTTAATATATAATAAAGTTAATATTAGAGGAACATTTGCTTATTCTTCAGAAAATCCGTTAGAAATGACTGAAGAATCTTATTAACAAAGAAGCAAGCTCCAGTTAGTACATTACAAAGGAATTTATTAATGTAATATGATACTTGAAGACATTTTAAAAAACGTAACAACAATAAATACTGTAATATAATAGATTTTTTCCATAAAATGAACAATAGCCTCACCCCATTATCATTTAATTATATCTAATTCTAACCATTCAGCTTGTAAAGGTATAAGTATTGTGATAAAATAAGATGAGTTTAACTCTTAAATTTTAAAAAGATAAATTGAATAAGCTGTTCGTTAAAATGTTTATATAATTTGCAGGTTTAAAAAAAGGTAGAAAGTGCCTTGGAGTAGTTCTTTCGAGCGTGTTTTCATAAGCAACAAAATGCCTTGTAAGTTCATTTGTGTAGCAATGTATTGTTAATTTTGAAGCATACTTTCTCGCTTATAGGAAGACACGCCTCATTGTATGCCCCTAAAGATCCAATTATAGAAAAGAAAAAAAAAATATCTCACTAATGAAGGACATATCTTCACGCTTTTAGAAGCTATACCTCATATATATGTACGGTCGTTAGCGCGAGACATGCCTCATAAATATAAGGTATATTTTTGTTTAAGTGAAGGGTATGCCCTACACTTTTAAGAGCCTAAATAAAAAATTAAAAATGAAGAAATATGGCTGTTATTTTGCTTAATGCGTATAAATTTACCCGTGTATCTGCTAATCCTAATTAAGATTTGTTTAAAATTATGATGCAGATAACTTGTAAACATTTTATACATTTAAAGCGATGACAAGAAAGGATGTAAAAAGAATTATCGTATTACAAAACCACTACTTAAAGGGGGACGTCAATCGAAAATGAATTAATTTCCTGAAGAGATGAACAATTTTCATTGTTCGTCCGTAATGGAAAACGGCTCGTCTGGAATTTTCCACCCAGATAATAATGAAGTTAGGCAATAGCAATCAAGTTAAGCTACAATAATTTGGAATTCGTTTGTTGTAAAGAATAATTTCGGAATGAGGAAAGGAATTTATCAATTCAAATGATACATCAGAATGGCACGAAACATCGATTATTTCTCCCTTTTTTTTTCTCTCTCTTCGTCGTCTCTCGTTTCTACATCCAATATCTTACAGTTAAGCAGATTACTTCAATCTCATTTTTATGACTTTGATCTTTCAACGATCTTCTTACTGAAGGAAATTTCTTTATTAAGAAAAAATGTGTTTCTATATAATTCATCCCTATCTTTACTACATATTTTACCGTTTTAAAACTCATTGGAACTCGTTTCTATATCCGAAAATAAGCCATATATGTAGCGAGTGAACCCTGGAAAATTCAGTTTCTGCAATGATTTACAACGTTTCTCCAAATGGTTTACTTTATGCTAGCTCGTCGATCGGATGCCAGATGTAAAATTTCTGTTTATGATGACGGATTGGATAAAGAAATCAAGAAAAAATCTTTATAAATCACGTCCAAACTAGTTTTATCGATCATATATCTCTCGGTGTGGAGAAGAGTGTAAGAAGTGCAACGATATCCAACATTAATTACCCCAGCTTAATTCCTTTCTTGATTAAACATCTTTCAAAAACCATGTAGAATTTTTTTTCTTGTGTGTAATTAAAATTTACTTTCAACCTGTAATTTAACTCCTGTCTCCCTTTAATAACTCGAGCCAAGCAGATGGTTATACTCTACTTTGTCTCCATACTCATGCAACCATAGTAAAATTTTTAAAAAATAAAAGAAAAATGACATTGCTTCCAGCTACTGAAGCAATAAAATGTAATTTTAAACTATACTTTATCTCTGGAATAAGTTTTAATTACAAATTATTTATATTTATCTTTAAAAAAAATTAAGTTTGGAGAGTATTGAATTAGCGATTAAAGAATGGATAACCGAGTCGTGGAACGTGGATGTCGGATGTCGATTTTAATTAAATCTGGAGGGAAGATACCTGTCGAAGAATGGGTTCCAAATTACTTTCTAGCTTGGCTGATACGACCACCGAAACGATTTTATTATTGTGCTAATATCGCATCAACTCTTTACCATTCGAATGTGAAATCGGGTGAGAGAGAGAACTCATCACTCTTCTGAAGCATTTGGCTCTTTATACTGGAGTTCCTGAAGAACGAATCGATTTTAAGTTTAAAACAAAATATATTTTGCACATATTGGAGCCATTTTAAAGAAATATACCTTGTTAAATTAAGTTATACGTCTTTTAAATGACCTAAACTGCAGGCAACACGTGGCTATGAAGAACATCGAAACCCCTATTTAAAGTGGCTTTATCACTTAAAACTGAAGTCAGGGTGTAAAATTTAAGAAATTCATTCGTAAGTAGTGTGGTATATTCGTATAATCTCGCTTATTTTCAATAGAAACGAAAGATTTTCGTATATACCAGCGTAAAGAGTGTCGTTAGATGCATGTAACTAAAGCAAAAATGCAGATAAAAGATGTATTTATCCTTCGAAAGTTATTTTAACAAAGTAAACAGATAAGGTTATCATTTACGATCCGTTGCGCCAACAGCAGAGATTATTCTCCACTCGGTTGACTCGCCAATTGACTCTTCATTTAACTTCGCTTCATCATTGTTCTAAAGTGAAAAGTTAGGAAAACTCGCTTTAAAATATTTTCTATGCTACAGAAGTGAAAAATCTTTTACGTAAAATTAAAATTATACGTCAAATACGGATCCCGATAAAACGTTAACCGTCGAATGATATTAACCAATCAGCGATTTCTATTTAAATTTTCAAATAAAAGTATCTGATTGGTAGATAAATATATTAAAAATTTATCTCTAATTAGATTTAAATTACTATTTTTATTAGAAATTTTTAATTATAAAAATTATCAATTTTAAATCTATAAAGAAAGTGAATGCCGGAAATAAATAATAAATCGATTTTTCGGGGGATGAAAGAGACAAAGCGAAAATTGATTTTTAAAATAGAAAAATTTAGCTAAAAATACAATACTTTCTTCCTACATTTTAACCATATTTTCTCTTAACGCATTTGTTTTTTTATAGTTTTAACACGCCATCTTATTTATGTTTTCTTGCACTCGACACGCTCTTTAACTTGAATTAAAAATACGAAAGAAGTTATAAGTTTCTTATAACGTAATTTAATTTTAAACAATTGAAATAAAGTGCGATGATATAATAAATTTCATTGATTTTAATTTAAAATTTTAAAAAATATATTGCGGATTTTTGGCTATTTTCTATAAAATAGTTAAATCCAATTTTTTTCGCGATAGGGGGCGAAATACGAATCCGACATCAATTTGACGTCACTTCCCATTTTTATAACAGGGAGAATGTATAAATGACGTCAAATTGACGTAATCGAACGACCAAACTCATATTTAGAGAATAAGTAGATAATAAATTTCTGAAATTTTCTTCATTTAATTTATAAAATAATCAAAAATAGTAAGTATATTAATTAAAATTAACGCGTTAAATTCCAGAGATTCGTATCCGAGATCTAATTCTCTGCTCAAAATAAATTGAGTTTTAATTAATTTAATTTAAGCGAATATCGAATATAAGCGCAAACCTTAAATAATTTCCTTCTTTTTCGAATTTTTGCGTATTTACTCCGCTCGTTTAACAGCCGACACGGCCACAAATACTAATATAAACTCCCGACATCGGAGATGTTTTGGCGCCCCCTGCTTTAAAATTTCCAAAAAAAAAAAAAAAAAATTTACCTCTGCAGTAAATTTTTTTGAAGAAATCCGTTTTGATCCCGTCTCGGACAGGCTTTTACGCTAAAAGCAAAGATATTTCCTCTTCTCCCTCTTATTATTACTATATTTATAGTAAAATATCGTTGATAGTCGCCATCTTGTTTCTACTTCGGCTGCCAGGCAACGCGTTATGTTGCCACGTCGCCTTGGCAACCGGTAACAAACGGTTTCCAAGCAACGAAACAAACATTCGATTTTATCCTTGCCGACGAATATGATATCCCTTTTCTATAAAACACTGATTTACTGCGTAAAGGTTGAAATAATAAAAATATAAGTTTTCGTATCTTTTTTTTTTACATTCTTTTCATTCCCAAATTTTTATTATTTTTTTTTGCGTGGTAAACTTTTATAACAAAATTTACGAAATTAAACGTTCGTTAGAGAAATATCAGAGGTAAAAGCCACGGTTGCTAAGCAACAGTTTGTTACTACGAATTGTATTACGCTAGTGATGACGTCGGTTGTTTTCGAGAAAGTGTACGCCCTCTTCAACGAAAACATTTATCGAAAAAATTATTTCCATAGGGAAATTTCTTTAACTATTTCCAGAATCTACTGAAAAATACCTTTCTCTGTTTAAAAATCCCCTAGAAACACACGAAAACCCCGTAAAACTTACTTTCGTAATAATAATTAAGCTAAAGTTAGTTTTAAGTATAAATTTGACCATGTTTACCGTTATAAATCGAGTATTTTTATCCAGATAAAACTATACATTTATATCATAACCTAGTTTCAACAAGTGGCCAGCTGTGTTTCCCATTTAACAGGTTGCATTATTAACAGGGAAAATAACCCGTAAAAACAATACACTGTGTTCGATTAAAGATATAATTTACGTGGCACCCGTTTAACGCTTATATTACACTCTTTTCTCGCTCTTATTATTAACGGGATCGGTTCCTATTTAAGTGGTATATCATTGGATACTATCGCGCCCAATTTCTGTTTATCGCCGGCCAACCCCGGGTAAAGAAACGTAATCGATTCGTCACCCCGGGAGATTTGAATCGGACATCGATTGGTCGTTAAGGTTACACTTTGAAAAGCGGGTGTGCCGGCGCCGGATAAGTTGCAGCGCGTGTTTAATAGAAAAAAAAAACACCACTTACCCGAAGGAAGAAAAGATAGAAACACACTAAATGCCGTCGTGGCACAGCTACTGCGTTTGTATCGGACGTAGTTGCCAGGTGCCACCGTCACCTAGCGACCGGTAATCCAGGCTTTGCGTACACTACGAGTTACCAAGGGAACCGTTGCTACAGTTTTTCTTCTTTTTTTTTTATAGTTCTCCCTCTCACTCGATCGATTTTCCATTTAAATAGTTGCTCCGATGTTATCGGGTATACATTTGGATGCGATACGAACCTGTTGGAACCGACTAATTAGTGTGAAAATAAAAATAAAGCGCGGGATCCTACTATAGAAGAATGCAAAACAATTACAGTAGAGCGTCGTTTATCCGAATCAATTGGGGACTGGGGTTGTTCGGATAACTTATTTTTCGGATAACCAATTATGTACGAAAAAATATATTAATTTATCCCGTGTTGAAATTTTTCTCCGTTGCGTGTCGCTTCGCGTTGAATTTTCGTCGATGTTAAGTTTAACGAAAACTATTGTATCGTTAAAAATTATTTTTTTATTTTGTACAAACAAAATAAATATATTGAAAAATATAAAAACAATAAAAAATTATACTTCAGATGTTAATTTAGTATCAAAAACGTAAAATACTTGAGTAGCCGAAGACATAGCCAAAGATTGCAGTGCCACAGCACTGGCGAAAATTTAAATTTGCTGACTGGAATTCCTTCGGATAACCGACGTTTCGGATAACCGACCTTCGGATAAACGACGCTCTACTGTAATACGTTGTTTTCCTATTGTCGGTTACTGTAATTAGCTTATAAAGCTTCTTTACGGATAATCGAAAGAATAGTTTAAGAATAAGGTAAAAATTTTCAATTGAATTAGTAAATTTATAATTATAATTTAAATTATATTTGAATATAATTAAAGCTTCATTATAGTTAAACGTTTGTGTGTTGTAATTAGCTTTAGTGTCTGTTTATTTTGTAGTTGGCTCGTTCATTACTTGATTAGAAAGATGTGTAAACTTCACCCAGTATTTAATTTATAATTATTATAATAAACTTAACGTGTGTTTTTTTTTTTTAAATTTCAGTTTAAATAAAACGATTAGAAATTGTTTATATTTCACAATAGTTAACTGACTTTTGGACCTTTAAGAGTCGAGAGAAAGAGGAAGTGACGTAGAGATGGCGCAAAATGAATGGACGTTTCGCACGTGTTCGGTAGTAGGCCTACCGAAGATATTTGGGCTACGATTTTCAAATACTACAAATTCTCACCGGTCCGTCTGTCTGTCGGTTAACCGATGTATCTCGAACGTTACGATACGGCGAATAAAAAAGAATTATTCTAATGCATTTGCGGTATAAAACGATAACGGACGACCGTTATTTCTTCGTGTACGTACAGCTTCTTTGGATAAATTTTCATAAATTGTAACTATCCACTTCACCCCAAATTATCCAACAACGTGGTTTAGTACGTAACTTAAAGATTGGTACAGAAAATTGAAAACGAGTAAACAATATCAAATATCTTGAAATGGGGGTGGACGAACGACCGTGTCGGAAGTAGAATTGTAGAAAATTGTCTTCGAAAATAGCAAAAAGTATAGGTTACATACGCGGTGTTAAAATAGATCTATCTAGTAACCAGGCAGAATGGCTCTGAGAAGGAAAAAACGAGCACTTACCTACAACAACGTCCTACTGCAAAGAATAACTGAACGACTGTGATATACCTGGACCTGAGAATACACAAGTTACAAATTAGAACACGGCTGAAAGGACACCCCAGCAGAAACATTCTAGAAACAATTCTAGAATGTTTAATTATATGTTGGAATTATGGGAAAAAGCCTGCAGAAGTGAAATTACAAGATTGTAAGTTTTAATTATATCATATAGGGTCTAAGAGGGAGGCATTTAAAGGGAGTGCGAGAGGGGGAGGAAGGAATTAGAGTTGTAATATTTGTGTGTCCATGGAGCCAGGCCACGGAACCCAAAAACAGATATAAATGGGGATTATACTTATTTTTTTAAGAAAAAATGACGGTGTATGAGAGTTTAAATGCGCTTAACTACGTTAATATACAAGACTGGAGAACGACATTTTGTGAGATAGTTTCCGAAGGGTCTGAATTAAGGCAAGATCTTAGTGTTATGGCTAATACTTAGGAAACACTTTACAAAATTTGTATCATCTCCTTCGATATTTAGAGCGAAAGTTCATTTGACATTTTTTCATTCATCCAAGATATTTTAGAATAATAATTTCACGTTACTTTGCATAAAATACAAGTAATTTTTAAAAAGATCGATTTTATTTATATATTTTGTTTACGTAACATCAATTTTTAATAATAAGAAATATTCATTTTGTATGATTTTAAAGAAAGGAATAAAATTTCGATATATTAAATTTACAAATTTATTTTGACGCTTTTTTACATAAAGCGTAATAAAATTGTAAATTTACATACGCGTACTGGAAGCGAATTTATTACATAATGCATTCCCTATTCACTTTCTAACACACGGTTTGTTTGTAATTTAAACACCGTTTGTAGTTTTGGTAATAAAAATGATCACTAGGAGCTATCGGGGCCCGATTCCCGGGCCCAAAAATTTCATCTTTTACGCATAAAAAACGAGTGACGTAAATTAAATTTTTTTTTTCGATCGGTGGCGAAAGGTCTGGTTTTGTTTGTTTTATTGATTTAATTCATAGATTTTTATGTCATTTGGAGAGAGGCGCGTGGGATCTCTCGCTCTTCCTCTCCCTCCTCTCTCTATCATTACTTTAAATCTTTTAAATAAACAATACAGATAATTTATAAAAATAATACAACTGTATTCGTAAGTCGTGGGTTATTTCCCATTTAGTCTATACACTTTTCGTCCATCCGAATCTTAATTTTTTCCCCATAACTAGAGATATATGCCCTTTTTTTACCTTTGTTTTTACCTATTTAAAACGTGTCTGGGTGTCTATAGACACGTATTGAAAGCGCAGATACGTCTATAAACCACTTTATATAATTTACTTTACATCACTTAAAACCTAGAAAAACGTTTTCAAAAATCGCGTGTCGCCATCTGTTGTTTAATTTAATCATTAATCTCGCCGAAAATAACAATAAAAGTAACGTACCGCCATCTAGCGAGCGTAGACGATTTTAGTTTATTAACGTAAGGCCGAACGATTTGATTCGTTAACATTACGTCACACCGGAATGTAGAGTGACGTCACACGGGTATAACGTATTTTTTTTCTTAACGATTCCCAAATTATTCGAAGAAGAAAATGAGAATAAAACGTTTAAGACAGACAATACTTTTAGAGAAAACGTTTCGGTCGAATAAGATACGAGGATATTTATATTTAAACCGTTATTTTCCTAACCGGTAGCTCGATTATCACGTCACGAATTGTATACGATGGCTCTTTCAATACGTGATATCGCCTAAATATATGAAGTAACGAATAGAGGTTGGAAACGTTTACACATAAATTCGACATTTTTATGACTCCCATATATATATTATTAGATTTATCACTAAGATATACACGAGAATTACTAAGAAAATAGAACCTACGGAAACAAGAAGATGACTTTTTATATCCTCCCTCCGTTTGTGGGGTTTAAAATACTTTTAATTAGTTACGACCGGTAAAAGCTTCCAATCGAACGAAGAAAAAGTTTAAATTTCGGCTTAGAATTTGTTTTTTCCTCTTTTTAATCTTGTATTTTGCCTTAAGGCTTCGTTTGACTTTCGGCGGCAGCGGCGGTTTCTATAGAAATAATCCGGTAATGCCTCATCACCGGGGAACATTCCGACGTGCCGAAAATTTACTACTCGAACTTAGTGGCCAGTAAAGCTCTATCGAAAATTACCTTTATCGTTTAGTACGAAATAACCTAATATTTAACAATGGTTAAGCGATTAGAAGTGTTTAATTAATACAGAAATCGCGACATCCGAGAAGAATTTTGTATTTATATTTGGACGCCATTTTGA